CCTCACACCAACATCCAGAGATGAGACCCCCTTTCCAAACACATCTGCACAGCCCACCTGCTCCTTGGCCTGCCCAGCCCCATCCGGGAGCAGGCTCTGTGCTGGGACCCACTGGCCCACTGGCCACTGCAAGCTCTGGAAGGTGCTTATGCCACTGCCACCTTGGTGGAGCTTGGCTTTATCATCCGGTTCTTTAATCTGAAATTCAGGGGCTGGGGATTTAGCTCAGCGGCAAAGCGCCTGCCTCGCAAGCGCAAGGTCGTGAGTTCAGTTCCCGGCACCGGAGAAAAACCAAAAAAAAAAAAAAAATCTGAAATTCAAATCAGGAAATTTAGAGTCCTTTATCTGACAGCTGCTTTAGGAAGGCACACGGCAGATGCCCCTGGTTCGGGCCTGGGCGGAGACGGGCACTGGAAGGAGCGGGTGGCCGGCATGAGCTCCTGCCTGCTGTCTTTTGATGCTGGGCCTGCGCAGTCGGTGCTAGCCAGTGCCCCTCCCTCCAGATATCCACCATGCAGGTGATACTGGGTGTGGGCACTTCTGCCAGTGGACTTGGTGTCCCCTGGGCATGGAAAGTGGAGGCCACATGGGCACACAGGGTGCACTCTCGCTCGGGGGGTTTCAGTTCCCAGAAGCAGGGGTCTGGCGTCTTGTAAATGGGCACTCTGGAGTCAGCAGCATGTGTCTGTGTTTCATCTCACCATTGTCTGGCCTCTGCTTCACCACGCAGGTCCTGGGCTCAGGGCCGGGAAAGGAGGAAGCAGATCCTCTGACTGTCAGTGCTGGTTTTACTTGTGGCCTAGAGGAGGTGCCCCTCCACTGTGCCTGGCCCCAGACCCGGTTCCCCCATAACAGGGAGCTCAAGCTCTTGGCCTGCTTTGGACCAGAGAGCTGCAGCTTCCAGTGTCCCTCTGCCTGCCTGGCCGTTCTCCTCCTATCCCTGCCCTCCCCGCCTGCTGCACAGGTGAACTTGTCTGTGTTCTCTTTTCCAGAGCCTGTTTTCTGGCGAGGTCCCCAGATCTCTGAGTTACCCCCAGAACGTGGTCCCAGACCTCTGGCCCTGCTCACCTGTGTCACTGGGTCCAGAAGGAAAAGCTGCTCAGTGCAGCTGTTTGCATCTTGCTGGGCTTCACTTGTTAGTGTCAGCGCATCATCACAGCCCGCAGCCTGTGGGAGGCGCTGTGTGCCCAGAGCTGCCAGGTGCATTTGGGTCACAGAGGTGCAGAGTGAGTGGAGGGCAGTGGGGAGCAGGGGTAGGGCCGCAGTGTGCCCTCAGGCTCCAGAGCCCCATTCCCCCTTCCCAGGCTGCCGCCTGTGACAAGAGTCAGGGCTGCTTGCCTAAATGCTGAGCCTCGGTCCAAAAATATGAAATGGGCAAGTCCAGAAGTAAGTGATTCCTCAGCTATCAACTGAGTAATGGGGCAGTCTTGTGCCGGCCTACTCTGTCCCACCAGGTCACAGACCACCCTTTCTCCAGCCTGTGGACACTGCATATGCTGCCCGTCTGTCCCCGTGCTCAGTGACCTGGGTCACCCAAAGCAGATGGCCGTCCTTCTGTCAGACCAGCAGGTCAGCAGGTCAGCACTATCACATGTCTGCATCACACACCTAACTTCATCTGCCCCACGGAATTGCAGCCTCATAAGAAGGCAATAAGACAGGGCAATAAGAGAGGCTGGGGATTTAGCTCAGCGGCAAAGCGCCTGCCTGGCAAGCGCAAGGTCGTGAGTTCGGTTCCCGGTACCGGAGAAAAACCAAAAAAAAAAAAAAAAAAAAGACAGGGCAATAAGAACTTAACAGAAGCCAAGTGTGGTGGTGCATGCCTGGGAGGCAGAGGCAGGAGAATCATGAGTGTGAACCCAGCCCTGGCAATTCAGTGGTGTAGCCTGACTCTATCTCAAAATTTTAAACCAGTTAACAGACAGAGGGATAAAACGCTTCTTACAATACTTGCTGTAATTGTTCTATCTCATTATTCTTGTCAATCTCATACTGTGCCTAATTTCTGATTAAACTTTAACCTAGTTCTGTTTGCATAAGAAAAACAGCATGCATAGGGCTCACTGCTATTCATAGCTTCCAGCAGCCACTGTGGGGCTCAGAAGGTGTGGGGTGAGTGCACAGACGTGGTGAGCGCTGTCAGGCCATCAGTGCTCCTCCACTCTGTGTCGGGGAAGCACACTCCTCAGGGCCCGCTGTGTTAGAGGCTGTGCTCCCGAGTAAGCAGTGCACCCAGTCCCCACGATTAGAATCCCAGGTTCAGGGGATGTGTATTGTGACCACGCAGCCTCTGGCTCCTGTGGCCAGAGTTGGTGCTGTGCCACCCGTCACAGGGGCACAGTCTGTGGGGAGCAGGTCCCTCACCCTGGTGGTCCTGGAGAGAATTTCCCAGCACCTCCTTCTGCTTGCACTGTCAGAATAAGAAGAGGTGACTCTGCCTTGTTCTTCTGGCTTCCTCAGTTGTACTTTAAGTGATCGTAGCTCATGGCAGAGAGTGCTTCGGTAAGCGCCACTCTGGGGACTTGGAAGGGGTGAGCTGGAAAGATGGAAGGTGCAGTAGAGGCAGCACCATCAGGATGCAAAACTGACTGTGAATGACACGATTTGTTCTGCTACTGGTGCTGGTTAAAACGTGCTCCTGGCACCGGGAAGCAGCTTCAGAAGCTCCCAGAGGGCAGCCTCAGCCACCCCTTCCCCTCCCCGCCAGGTTCGTTGTGGAGAAGCAGTCTGTAACAGGCCCATAACAGCGCCGGTGACAGTTTTAATAAAGAATCATGCAGGCTCTGTGGTCTCACTCTGCATTGCCCACAGTCTGTTAGACAGGCCCAGGAGACAGGGTGACCACGTGAATTACTGCTGGCTGAGTCTGAAAGCACAGTCTTGCTGTGTCCTCTGCCTGCCCCTGAGGTACCTAGAAGGGGAGGGGTGACAGGAGACTTAGAGGCCAGGGATTTGAGGAGAAGGGACCTGGCTAGGAGGTAGAGGCCTGGCTTGAGCCTTTCTGCCATGTGGCCTGAAGTAGGGCACTGTTCTCTGAGTTTGGTGGCCCCGTGCACTTGGGGTCCACAGCCCTGAGTTCCAAGTGCAGGTTGAGGACCAATCATTGGCCGTCCCAGTTGGGAAAGTGACATAACTCCTTTGAGCCTTAGTTGTCACCTCTGTGAAGTAAGCTAACACCGCCTGCCCATGAGATGGGATGAGGCTGTGGAACAAGCCCAGCGAGGTACCCAGCGGTGCAGTGCTCAGCATGTGCCGTCAGCCTGCTCCTGAGAGTGCCGTCTGTTACGCATGGCTCTGTTGGTGGGACTCTCCACCCTCAGCTTCCTGCAGGGTCCCCTAGAACAGGGATTCCCACAGTGTGGTCCTGAGGTTGACGGCACCCGAGCCCAGACAGCTGTCAGCTGCTGTCTAGCAGCCAGTGCTTCTGTTAGCACCCTCTGGGCGTCAGCGCACCTTGCTCTTCTGAGGTTCCAGCTTCTTTTTTTCTCATAAGATGTTTTAAAAGACAGCTGAGTGTGCTTTGGAAAACACAGAGGCTTCAGAACCTGGGTTTGAGTCTCAGGTTTGTAAACTGCAGGAAGGTAAGAGATTGTTAGTGGAGCTCTGAAGTAGCAGGAGCCTGCTGTCATGTCTTCCCCACATCCCCGAGTGTTCGGAAACAGGCCTGGGTATCTGGTCTCCTGGGTGTCTGTCCTACAAGGAGGCAGTCCGCTCTCTTACGGGAAAAGCTTCCACCCTGAGCTTCATTAAGGTGAAAGCTCTAAATTTAGCCCTGGAGGAAGGGCTGCTGGCTTCGGACCATTTGATAAATGGCTCCATGAGCTCTCCTAGAGGCAACTCCCAGAGTAAATAAGATTTAAATAAAGCACCTTATCATTTTTCCACATCAGATCTGAACATTGCTAAACATAAAGTGCTTTCGGGAGCCAGCACTTTTAAATGAAGGCAGCACTGCCTTGGTCCCTGAATAATCAATGGATGGTGGACCTGAAGCTGGTAGTTGGCACTGTGAATGTGGGACCAGGGGCACCGTGTGCCCGGGCCCAAGCCAGCACCCTTGGAGTGGAGCCCTACACGTGGGCAGGTTCTCAGGAGAGAGAAACACTGGTCTTGCAGAGGCTTCCGAGTAGAAAACGCTGCCAGAGTAGAATAATACAGTTGCCTCTCAGCTTACAGTGGGAGTTGTGTCCTGATGAACTCATCATAAATTGAAATATTATCACAAAAATGCATTTGACACGTCTAACCTACCAAGCACCTAGCTTAGCCCCGCGGCCTTACCCCAGCTCAGAACCCTGACAGAGCCCGTGCTGGGCAGAGTCTTCAAACCTAAGGCCTCTTACAGGAAGCCCAGTGTTGACAGTCTGTGCGGCAAATTCAGTGAATGGGAATAGGAACGGCTGCATGGGTACACTTTCACAATGCTCAAAAAGAGGAAAAACAAAAACCTCTTGAACGGAACCCTTGTAAATCAAGGGCTAATGAATATGCACAGGGCAGGAACTGACACTCAAAATCTTACAAGTTGTAAGGCCTGGGCATGGGCCAGTCAACTGCAAGAGGGGGTGGCCAAGAGCAGCGCCGGGGCTGCAAATTGCTGTAGAGCCATGCAGAAGTCAGTCATGAGGACAGGTGCATAGCTTCTGCTGACTAGTCAGTAGCACACGGGATTTCTAACACCGCTGTAGTCTGTGTGCGCCCACTAGAGGTCAGCCCTAAGGGTGCTGCCTAAGGCTGTGTCAGGGTCAATGAGAGGGAAGCTCTTCTTTGACCCCAGTCCATCAGTCACCATGTCCGCTGTTGAATCTGCTGGAGTTATTTCTCCATTCCATTTTCCAGTTGGACAGGCACTTCTGAGCCAGCCTTGTAGAAGGGTTGTGATCCATCGGCCCGACCGCAGGAAGGCCGTGTGGGCAAGAAGGTATGCCTGTGCACTCCCAGGGCCATGCGTGGTTATGTGGTGACATTTTGTGAGCATAGTATATCCTTTGCATTTACAGGCCTAGGCTGCAATGCAAGAGAGTGTGTCTCAGGAGGGGAGCCTCGTTTCCTCTGCAGCCTGCTGGCTCTCAAGATTGAAAGAAGCTCCCCTTCTCCTGAGAATGGCGTTTGCTTACTGTGGGGTGTTGCTGCTCCATGGGACCAGAACAAGTCTGTCAATCCAGCTGGAAGGACCCAAGGCTGCTGAGAGGGAAGCAGTGTTCTCAGCCCTCGGGAGAACTGAGTCAGCAGGCGCCCGCTGGGCACTGGGTGAGCTGGGGGACAGCAGGCAGCAGGGTGCCAGGGCCAGAGAACTTGCCTGGGTGGATGGAGGAGGAAACTGGGACAGTATAGATGGTAGATTTAAAAAGTACAGCTGAAGGACAGAGTGACACTCTTCAGACTGTTCCGTGGGCTTTGGGGTCTGGGCTCAGCCCCTTCTGAGGCCACATGCTTTGAGCAAAGTCATCAGTGTTGCATTCCAGACTCGGCCAGTGGCATGCTGCCCAGCTCGCCTCCTTCACAAGCCCCACTCCTCCTTCTGAAGGTGGGGAAGCAGTTCCCACCTCAGAACGCTGCAAGAATGTGCTGAGACTGATCTTTGTGGACTGCAGGGTTAGTGCTCATTCTTTGCAGATGCTTCACGTGTGCACAGAGCTCAGGGTGCTGAAGCTGGAGCAGGCAGCAGGAAGCTTGTTCCCATTTCCTTCTAGATAGCAACGATAGGATGTGGCCTCCAAAAAAGCCGTTTGAGCCACGATGGCACCCAGGGCCTCCTTCAGGAGGGTGGTCAGCCTGAGACGCTGTGAGCCTGTGGGGGGTGCCAACCTGATGAGCCCCTCTCACTGCGGGGAGTAACTTCTGCCCGGATGGGGTCTGAGTTTCCTCCCCCCTGCAGAGTGCTCTGAGCACTCCTCTTCAGCAGCTTGTGGACAGGGGCATCCAGAGGGGAGCCAAGCAGTGTGCCCCACTCCCCACGGAAGGTGAGGACAGAATGTCTCACCATTTAAAACTTGAATTGTGTTTTCTTTCGTCTTTTGTTTGGACATCTTGGGGCATAGATAGCCTAGGACACGGCTATAAATCTGTGACTTGCTAATGTTCCAGTGTCACCTTAAAATATTTTTATGTCAGCTTTATTGAAAACTAATTATTGCACAAACACACCCTTTCAAGTCATGTGATCGGATGGGCTTTGCCAGTTGTGTGCACCCTGGAAATCATTCTCACAGGCAGGAGGCGGAGTGTCCTCATCAGCCCAGGGGACTCCCACGCCCATTAGCAGCCAACCCTCCCCGAGCCCAGCTCCAGAAATCTACTGGTAAGCTTTTTGTGACTATGAGTTAGTGCCTATTTTATGTAAATGGAATAGTATACATCATTTCACCAAGGGCTTCTTTCATTCAGCATGACTTTTTATTGTGATAAATTATACATTACGAGAATACATTTTAAAAAGTTTGTAGTAACAGTTCACGGGCACTAAGTATGCTCACATTGTTTGCAACCTTCACCACACATCTCTGGAACTTTATCTCCCATGTTGCAGCTTTGTACCCATAGACGCTGGCTTCCATTCTTCTCCTTTCAGCCCATAGAAGCTGCCATCCTGCTTCCTGTCTCTGTGAGCTTGACTGCTCTGGGCACCACATTTAAGTGGAATCACGTCTGTGCTCTGGTGTCCGGCTTTCTTCCCTTAGTGAAATGTCCTCAGGGTTCATCCTGCTGAGACCCGTGTCAGAATCCCTTGCTGTTTGAGGGCCAAGTCATATCACAGTGGATGTGTGGACCCTGTCTACCCTCTGCCCGCGGACGCTTGGGCTGTCTCCTTTCGGCTACTGCACGTCATGCTGCTGTGAGCATGGCACAGACATCTCCTCTAGCTCCTGCTCCGAGTTCTTTCTGTGTGTATACTATAATTCTCTGGCTAACTTTGGAGGAGCCTCCACACTGTTCCAGTCCACCATTTCACATCTTTCACATGCTTTTCACTGGACCACTGCTCTCCTGCTCATCTCTCCAGTCTCCACAAATGCACTGCTTGCTCTCCCCTTCCCGTGGCCTGGTGATGATCTCCTTCATATCTGCACCTCTACCTTTCTGGTCCTTTCAGTTTAATTTGATTTTCAGAGAATTGCTCAGCCATGATAATCTCATATAAAATTGTGCTAGTCCTTGCTGCCCTACCTCTGTCTTATTAGCTCTAGTGATTGTATGATTTACCAACACCCTATTAACAGTACGATACAACTCTCTATGTCCTGTTACCGCCACCTGCTGTGTCACCTCCACTGGTCTCCTCACTGACTCGACTGTGCTTTGCATCCTACATGTGCACTGAGCAGCGTGTAGAACAGCCTGTCCTGTTAACTGCGTGTGCGACCCAGTGTTCTGCAGCTCTGTCTGACTTGCTGCCAGCTTATTTATCGTATCTTTAGTGCTGCCTCACGGTGATCTGTGAAAACTCTTTACCCATTTAGGTCTTGTTAGGGCAAGGTATCCAAAGCCCTTGTGGGAAGTTACACATATCATTGCCTCTGAAGGACAAAGCCTTCAGTGTGAGGTTCCAGCCTCACACACCCTCTTTAAAGACTGTTTTCCTAGCTGCATGTGGTGGTACATGCCTGTAATCCTAGCACTTGGGGAGTTGAGACAAGTTAAACCAGGCTGGACTATGTAGTGAGACCCTATCTTTTGAGGGTATGGTGAGCCACTTTAATAGAACTGGGAAGGGCATGAGAGGATTGGGGGTGAAGAAGCAGGAAGCTGGGTGAGAAGAGAAGTCATGGAAGGAGAAGGCTGGGGAGCAGCCAGGGAGAGAGGACTGCAGGCAGACAGAGCCAGTGATATGAACCCTGTGCTGACTGCCAGGCCCGATTGCCACGTCCCTGCAGACAGTGGCTGAGATGCAGCCCATGTGAGCCTGACGAAGAGGAAGCTCCGCCCCAAGCCCACTTCCACCCTTGGCCATAGGAGTACGTGGTCAGCAGCTGCCTAAGCCAGACCCTGTGCCTACAGCCAACCGAGGCACGGGTGCTGTGATGGTCCAGGCCAGGGCCGGGCACACCAGTGTGGTCCAGTGGTGTGGAGAGGTGACTTGTAGAATCATCCTTTCTTTGTCATGGTGTACTTTTCTCCTGAGGTCAGGAAAGGATAAGGAGTCCTTGACAGCCACTTGATAGACACCATGAGTACTGTCTGTGGGAACACTCATGCATTTAAAAAGGCCAGTGTATTGTGTATAAGGGGCAGAACTGGCCCCTTATGAACCCGCTGCATTTCTAAAATACTCTTTAAAAGCATCACCAAGTCTGTGATGATGTTATTTGCACATTGTAAAAACCGTTTGGAGATCCCACTGTGTGGATGGGGAAACTGAGGCCCCATGGGGCTCTCGTGGTGCACAGTCTGTATTCTCAGCCTCCTTCCTGCTGCCGCAGCTCTTCCCTGGAGGCAGTGGGTGGAGACCTCAAGCGGGCCCATACTAGAATGTGTACATCCTGCCTGTGTGGCCTTGGGGCTATTGCTCCTTGCGGTTCTGCAGCCTTCATGGGAAGGCTCTTAGAGCCTTGGGCACAGCTCACAGAGGAGCCCCAGGCACAGCTTTGTTTAAGTGAAATGTCCCCCTTTGCTGATCTCTGCAGCCAGCCTTTGGGGGTCTATGTTTGCCAAACACCTGCTGATGCCTCACCCCAAACACAGCTGTCGTCCACAAGTGCCTCCTGGGCCTAAGTCCCCACCCCACCCGGCTCCCTGGGCCTACTGAGGAGCAGGTGTTGACCCCCTAGCATCTGTGTCGGAGCCACAGAGGGGAGAGCAAGGACGTGGGGTAGGGTGAGTCTCCTGAAGCTCAGAAAAAGTAGCTGTCTGAGTGGTGTCCTCTGAAAATTCACACATGCCAGGAACGTCAGAATGGACTTCATGTGGATGTAATGCCTTACGTTGTTTGCAGATGTAACTTGTGATGGGATGTGATAGAAAGTCGCTCTGGATTTAGGATTCATGACTGGAATCTGTATAAGAGGAGGAACACACAGAGAAACCACATGAAGGGGCAGTGGTCATGGGAGGGATGTTGTCTGGAGAAGTGAGAAGGACCCCCCCACGTCACCCTTTCTGGTGTGCAGGTGGCTCTGCTAATACCTTAGCTTTGGACTTGAGGCCTCCAGAACTCTGAAACAGAGACATGCTTGTTGTTTGAAGCCACCGAGCTTGAGGTAATTTGCTATAGCAGCCACAGGAGCAAATGTACCGGCTGTTGTAGACGAGGGGGACTGTGGGTTTTCAGGGAACCAGGCATCAGGGCCTCGGTTTCCCTAGTGCTCACCCCCGCAGGGCCTGAGAGTCCTGTGGGAAGGCAGGTCAAAGAGTGGACAAACCAGGAGTTGGAGAAGGCCCAGGGCCCAACTCCTGTGTCACTCAGACCCTGCCACAGAAAATTCTGTGTCTGCCCCATTGTTACTGCCTGTCGCGCACCAGGCTATGCAAGTCTTCCCATCACTTCCCTCCATTATCGTAGGGACATGAGTAACTAAGTTGCTCTTGCCTTAGTTTTTTATTTGAAATTCATTAAGTTACTCAGGGTCACACAACTGGTAAGTGACAGATCCAAGGTTCGAATTTATGTCTCCTCTGTTTCAGAGGCTGCACACTTAGCCAGGATGCTGCTGTGACCTACCTGCCTGTTCTCAGTAATAGCAGGAGCTGATGGTTGACATAGCCAGAAAAGAGCCTGCCAGGACTCTAAGGACTACCAGGGCTTCCCGCAGCCTCCTTCCTGCACCCTCCACCTAACCCTCTTGCCCCTGCCCGCATGGTGGCAGTCCTGTCATGTGCTCCTGTTCCTTGGATGGCCTGCGATGTTCGAGGTTCACACTTCAAGTGGTTTCCCTGGCAGCTTGTCACCGTCCCTTCCTATCTGACAAACTTACTCTCCCCATATGGCTCAATGTCATCTTTTTTTTTTTTTTTTGGTACCAGGAATTGAACTCAGGGCCTTGTGCTTGCCCCAGCTTTCATATGGCTCAATTTAAATGTGCTCCATATACTGCTATCTAGCACATACTACACAGATTGTAAATCCTACTGGTTGTGTCAGTCTTTCCCAGGATGGAGTCGGAGCACCTTTGACACGGGACTAAGTCTTCCAATTTTGGCTTTTATTTTTTTTTCTGCCATGGAAATGACACCTCAACCTCTGAAGTCACCCAAAAGTGTTTGAAGAAGTGAAGCATGTAGAAGACCTGGATATTATTAAATAACAAATACTCAGCAGAAAGAGAGATTAATTTTTTTAAAAACAAAGAACAGATATTTCAAGACAAAAGCACCACTGAGAGCTTTGCATGCTGAAAACTAATATTGAATCTAGAGTGCCCTTTTTGGTGGGCTTATAAATGACACTCAATTCAATGTGTTGGTGATGGGACTCAGGAACTTTCTTTTTTAAATTATCTGTTTAGTCCTGTAGACACATGTTAAGAGCTTGGCCTAAGTGTATTTGAACGTCAGATCACACATACCTGCGCTTATGCTGACCCCAATGGAAATGTAGGACACCATTTGTTGGGGTTCCAGTTGGAGCCAGCTTACCAAGAGCACATGTCTTGTGTAAACCGAGGCTGTGTTCCTTCTGTGTTGCCCCCTCCCCAGGGAACTGTTTGTCCATGTAGGAGGTCCTGCCCCAGGGAATTCTAACCACTCTGCTCTCTATCTCCCACTACAGGCTGGCCATGGGTGACCCTCTCTGTTTTGGGATTTCTGTACTGTTACTCCCATGTGGGCATTGCCTGGGCCCAAACATACATCATGGACTGATTCTGCCTTCACCACCGGCCTCCAAGGCAAATATACTTCACCCTGACCTTCCACTTCAAGGTGGCCTCCAAGGAGTTATCTTCTGGTCATCGTCTATTGAAGATGCCTCATTGCAAGACTGGCGCTTGATCTCTCATAGATAATCTACAACCAGATAATCGTCTAACTTTGGGGTCCTAGACATTTTCTACCTAAGCTCCTTAGTTTCCTGAGTAACCTGGGCTGCAGGCCAATAGTGGTCTTACCCAGATGTACATGGTGACATGTTGGTGTGAAACCCAGCCCCCTGGCCCTTTGTATTCTTCTTCTTTCCCAAGAGATAAATGTGCACATTTCTTGGTTGAGTGTTGGAATCCTGGTTAGTGATAGGCCTATCCTGCTCTGAGTAGTATTTCTGAGACATTTCAGCAATATGTTGGTGACCCCTTTCCTGTGGTCTGTGTGGGCTCTAGCATAGCACTAGAGCTTCACACTTGAGCTCCTCCGCAGGGAGGTGACAAAGCCACACTATAGAATCAGCCCTGTGGTGTTCCAGGGAGTCCATATCTAAGGAGTCTGTGACTTCTGAAGTTCATTTGGCTCCTTGTTCCTGAAATTTGCAGAGATGGATGAACACAGTAGTTCCTCTGACAGGTAATTGTTTCCCAGTGAAGAAGCAGACCTCAAACAGCAGAGGATGAGTGTATCCACAGACAGGTGCTATCAGATAAGTTACAGAAGGCAAAGATGACCGCCTGTTGTTTCGTGTGCCCTTTCCCTGGAGTCCGAACAGTCATAGTCCTACTCTGAGACTTATGCTTAATGGTATATATTGCTTTGTTTTGATTCAAGTGACATGGAGCCTTTTTGTTACATAGAAAACTCCTATTTTTCTAGAATTATTTTGAATAGTTTGAGGCAAATGTTGAAAATCTAAATATATTTACTTGACTCATTCCTCCAGAAAGATACCAGATAAGCTACAGATGGCCCCAAGTGGTAGATGATTTAGAGTATTTTGTTTGGCTTTAGATTTTTGGGAGGGAGGCGGAAGAAGCTTTAAAATTTGAATCCACTATGTATTTAATTTTGAGAAACTTTTCTGTAACATTCCAATACTTGCATTTTCGCCAAGTGACAGGTTCATGTGGACCTCGTACTGTCTTATATTTGTTCATTATTGTCCTGGTCCTTGGCTGTAAGACAAACTCCTAGAGTCCAGGACCACTCATTCTGGTTGACTGTCTTTATTCCTAGGTGCTCTGCTTGGGAGAGAGGTGGGAGGGGACGGATGCTAGTGACCTGGGTTTGGTATATGGTATTAGCTGAAATGAAGGGCAGGCCAGAGAGGGGCAGGTAGACCTGGGCAGCAGTAGCCTCAACAGCTGCCATGGAAAGCAGGAGACAGGAGCAGAAGACTGCAGGACACTGGGAAGTTTTAAGGAGGCATGAGCCTGAGGGAGGAGAGAGCCCTCAAATGAATGCAGTAGAACTTTATGGGGTAACACTGAGGTAGGATTTGGGGACCAGCCAGAAGGAATTTAGCTGAAGTCTACTTGGAAAGAAGGCGCTTGCTCATATGAAAAGAAGCATAGAAATGATTATAGGGATATGTCTAATGTTTTGGGTATATAAATAATATAAAAGAGTCTGAGCTCTTCTGAAGAGAACATTTATATAAAGCAAATTCGTTCAGTGAACTATGTTGGGAGAGTCAGTGGATGTATTTGAAAGTAATAATCCTCAATTTCTTTTAAACAAGATCATTCAGAGTTTTTAGAAATTAGTAAGGGATTACTGTATTTAGCTCTATATTTGAGGCTCAAATAATCAATATGTGGATTATGGAAGACAGACAGCTGTTTTCTTTAATCCCTTATTGTTCTGAGCTGATGATACTTATCTCCACATGCATATTAACTAAAATCCTAGTGTTGTAGTCAACAAAGGCCTACTGAGGACCCTGGGAATGCAGAATGATTCCAGCTGACGAGCACCTACCCTGTCCTCAGCCCTAGGCAACTTCAAGCTGATGCTGGGAAGAGGCTAAACAAGGTCCTTGGTCCCTGGCAGTGCTGGGACCATCTGACCCGCCCCCCCCTGGCCATGTGGACCAGCCCAGGGGTTCCAAGCATAAGCATGGCATCTGAGGTGTCAGCATGCCCTTGGTCATTGTGGCAAGAAGACTTAAAAGCACTGTTTACAGATTAATGTGTGTGAGGTGGCAGCAGGAAACCTTTGGTTCTATGAAAGACTACAGGCCTAGAGAGAAGACATGTCACAGATGCGAGAACAGCAACTTAGTGGCTGTGGGGTTTCCCAAGAGAAACTGAGACCTTGTGGTTTGCTTATCTAAAAGAATGATATAACTTTTGACTAAATACCAGGGATTAACCATAACCTAGTGAATTTTGCTTTTAGCAGACATGCCAGGATTTATCCACATAGTGGGGTTTGTTTCAGAATAGTCAGTGTGAGAAGCCCAGTGATCTGCACAGTATCGCCCTTCTCAGTGTGTTCTGAACTCTCTGAGGTCTTTCTTCAGGGAAAGTATTTTAAAACAAAGAAAAACCCTCATTTGGAATTTGGAACTTTAAGTAACATCACCCTTAAGTTATGTTTATTGTGCTTTTCTGCAGTATAAATAATAGGGGGCAGGGGTGTTACTAGAAAATTTTGTGTTCACACTGTGGCATTATGAGATCAAGCACAGATCTGAGTTTGGCTTGTACAGCACATCACAGATTCCTCAGCCCTGAACTGAGTTACCGTGTAAAAGGAGCGATACTGTTTTTGAAATGCGGCCCATTGGGTGTTAAATGAGAGCTCGGGTTGGCAGTGTGTGGAGTCTGGCCATAGCAAGCAGCAGTCCCAATTAAAATCGTAGCACAACTGAAACCATGCCAGTGGGTAAGACTGTTTAGCTCAGGGCAAGCAGTCCTCTACTGTAACAGCTCCTGAGACCATCAGTGAAGTCAAGCCAGGGTCAGAACTAATATTACTGACACTGAGTCAGACAGAAAGGTGCAGTTGTGTTCATCCTACTGTGTGTTAAAAGGTAGGAGGGAAACTTTAGATCCGTGTTAAATCAGTGTGTCCTAAAATTTGCAGTGATGCTACGCTGCTATGGCTCGGACATAGTTTGTCCCCACCAAACTCCTGTCAACATTTGGTAGCCACTGTGGTGGTGCTGGGAGGCAGAGCCTCTGGAGGCAATGTGATTGTCAAGAGGGATTCATACCTTTCCCATGAAACTGAGTCCTCATGGGGCTGGGTAGTTGCCCTGCGTCCCCCTCACACCCCGTGTCTACAGCAGATGCCCCATGCCCTTCTGACCTCCACACAGCACAGAGCTGCACCAGGCCCTCGCCAGCGGTAGCCACCTGTCAGGGACTTCCCAACTTCTGGAACCCAAGTCAGCTTCTGTGCTTAACAGGTCACCAGTCTCAGGTTCTATGAGAGCACCAGAAATCGGACCAAGACAGATTTTTAAAAGCAGTTTGTGCACAGTAGGCAGTACTTTAACACATAATCTTGGTGTCTCTAGAATTTTAAGTTCTCCAAAAACTACAATTATAGGTGCTATTCCAAGTTAGAGCGTCCTAAATGTCTAAAAAGAATAGACGATCCCACCCTTGCTCTGTCGTCTTAGGCCAGAACACCCAATGCAATGTCTTACAGCTATGTAAGGAAAGACAAAGGCAAGTATCATGTATAAAATAGTTTATTACCATAATAAATAAACTCTTTTTTTTACAAATATCTTTTGTGCTTGTTTAAAAATGTTGGGAGTATCATTGATGGAGGGGCCTCGGGGTCCTCTTCAGATCCCCAGCCACAGACCTACAGTGAAGTTCCTGTCAGCAGCCTCCACTGACCACAGAAATCTGCCCTTGGGTTTATTCATGCTCATTTGGAAAGAGTGGTGGGTGCAAAGGAAAAAGGGAAACTCAAGAAAGGGTTTGGCAGGACTTCATGGAAAGACTGTAGAAGGAGAAGGCCCTTCTGAACTGCTCGTGGGCAGAAGTTCCTCGCAATGAAATGCTGGATGTGGACCATCTGCGACAGATGCACAGATACAGGGTCTGACTGTTAAGAGAATATATTCAGCAGTGGCATCACATCCTTGACTTAAATGCAGTTCATCTCCTGATACAAGAGCTGTGAGCTTCTCACTGAACAGCCAATGGGTCCGTTGGATGACTCAGAAGTCAGGTGAAGAGAGAGTGGCTCTAAGAAAAATTGATGGCAGGTAGAGAGGGCACCGCCAGGCCTGGCACTTGCAGGGTATTCAAGTCCAGTGTTATAGGTTCCAGAATCGTCTGATCTGCTTGCATGAGAATGGCTCTTCACTTGAAACTAATTTAAGCTGCAGGTAAATTCACATTGATTCTTTTGAACTGTGGGGAGTGGAAGCCGCCAGTTTTCACTCCCAGTGCCTGTGGCGAGGAAGGGTCCTTTCTCCGATGCTTGCAGTGGATGCTGAAAGGACTGTGAGGTCTCCAGGTGGGGGTACAGGAGCTGGTGAAGGTCATCTTTACACAAGCGAGAAGGCAGTGCAGAAAGCAACAACAGTGACTCAGCGGCACAGGAGAGGCTGCCCAGGGGCTGCAGGGACCTCCTCATGAGGCAGCGGTCCGTGAGGAGGGGAGGAACGGTGCAGCTCCCTCATACCTGGAGTCCATTCAGGGGCCTTAAGGCTAAACATCTTTATTGCAAACATAGTACAGTCTGTTAATCCGATGCACATCAGCAACGTGTGTCTCCACCAGAGCTCCTAAAAGTGCCCCAGAGTGCACATATGACGTGTGGGAGTCAGCGCCAGTGGGAGAAGGATCTTCCTCTAACTAGTATTTGTGGAGTTCTTTTAGTTCTCACACCAACTGGAACAATTTGGATGGTTGGCTTCATACTTTCACTTCCCACCTGACTTGGAAGATTGAGACTGCTGGGTGGGGTAGGGTGATGGAGTGTCTTTCTGGCCCTTGCCTAGGTAGCCCCACTTCTGAAGAAAGCTTCCAGAAAGGGGTTGATGGGTGACCAGCAGCAGCACAGAGGCTCCAAGAGGCCTAGAGTAAAACAGTCCCCAGGAATCATCTAACAAGAAATTGAAGCAAGAAATGTATTTCTGAAAGTTGGCTGGAAGGCTGCCAAAGTGGGCACAGCTTTTAAACATCCGGGCCACACCATAGCCCTCATTGGCATCACAGGGTACTGCATTACTGTGATGATGCAGCTGCATTAGTTGTGTGCAAGACCACAGCTTAACTACCCAGTGGCTCCCGCCGCCTCCCTTGGGCCATCACATCATCCCCAGTGCAGGAGGCCCTGTGGGATGGCACCACACCCTGCTGGAGCCAATGCCCCTCTGCCAAGAACAAGTCCCCTGTTGCCTATCTTATTTCATAGACTCAACCTTCAAGCCATCGTGGGAAGAGCAGCTCCATTGGCAGCCGAGCAGCAGGGGCAGGACATCCCCCCTTCCAAACAGCCTGTTAGGATATCTGCTGGGAAGTGCAGCTTTCCTGAATCATGTCCAAAATAAGGAGTTTAGTGGAGATCAAGTAACTGGCACTTACTGGGAAAAGGTGCAACGTATCTCTAAGACAGACGACAAAACCGCACAGAGATCTCTGTCTCACCACAGAACTTTTCTGATATCTTGATGTTCAGTCTAATACTCAGTGGCCTTCTCTAACTTCTTTTCAGCCACCAGATTTATACCGGAAGGAGCAGATCCGTGGTACCTGAGGGCTGCGTCCTTGTGCAGGTGCCCAGGGTCATACCCTGGCGAGGCTAGGTAGGTAGCACAAAGCAGCCTGCATCCAAGTGCATGTCATAAAAAGAGAAGGACAAAAGGATCAGCTCACTTAAAAAATGTGTTTTCACAGACAGCTCTATAAAAAAAACTCCTTAAACTCGTTAAATGGAGAAGGAAAAGCAGATGCAGCCACGTTTGTGGTGCTCTTCACCGTCAGCTGCAGGAAATCATGTGTGGGCCCTGCAAGCTGAGGTGAGCCGTTCCTAGGGCAGGGCCAGGACTCCAGTCTTCGCCTAATTTGCTTTATCCTGAGTGCTTTCCTGAAGCTTCGTCTCTCCCCAGAGTGAGTCTGGACTTCGAGGCTCCCCAGCACCTTTGCCCGTCAGATCCCATAGTGACTCTTGAACAGACTCAGGCAGAGCTGGAAGGAAGCAGAAGGCGCCCCACCATGCAGGGAGGTGGGGGCTGAGTAGGGCCTCCATCAAGTCCCGAGAGCCCATGAAAAGCCCCTGGGGCAGGGTGCTCTGAAGTTGGATGCTGGGGTTCTCAGGGACCCAAGACTGCCTCAAGAGTAGCAGGTCCTAACTTAGGCAGCAAGTTAACAAGTACACTTGAGGAATGGCAAACTGCAATGCTTAGGGGGCAGCAGCAGATGGGATCTGAGACATTCATGACCAGGCAGGACTCAGCCTTGGGAAATGGCACGTTCCCTTCCTGTGGGCTGCCAACTGAGGTTAAATCGAATAATGTCACGGCCGGAGGACGCCACCGGCCCTCCATAAGCTTTACACAAAAAGCTGTGTGTGACTCCCTTTGCCTCCTGGGGCCATCTGCGTCACCTTGGCACCACTGAGGACCAAGTGGGTCGAAAGAGGGAGAGGCCTGGAAGCAGGCTTTCAGGAACACAGAATCTTTGGTGGGGCAGGTCTTCCTCTGTCTGGTTCCCTAAGGACACTGGCATTCAGAATGTTGATAGCACAGTGATGCCAGGCAGAGGTGTGGGGACAGGGTCACCACAGCGCCACACGGGCAGAGGTCAGCAGTCTGGACGAGGCCATGCTGTCCCCTAGATGCCTAATTCCATGCTCTCAAGGATGACTGCAGAGTGGAACCTCCAGCCCTGCCGGCAGCACTGGGTCCTAACACCTCTCCCAGGGTGTGCACCTAGGCACGGTCCACTTCCCTGCTCTCCTTCTTTTGATGCCACTGGGAAGTCCAGGCTTCAGTGGCGGCCCCAGGTGATGAGGCAGTGCACGCCCTGAGCATCACGATGCTGGGAGGGGATGGCTCTGTGACCATGACTCTGGGCTCAGACCTGCATGGGCCGCAGCTCGCCGGCCAGCTCCCTCCATCTCCTTGAGAGCTTGGAAACTGCTTCATCTTTTTCCTCCTGAAGACATTACAGTCGTGGTCCTGCCACTTTTCTTAGTAGGCAATGGAGAGGCTGGCTTCAAACAAGGCCATGTGTGGCTCCCAAGTGTCCTCTACGGACCCTATGCAGTAGGCAAAATACAAATTTCTGAAGGGCAATCCCTATGAGAATCAGAATACAAACAGCACTTGCTACAATCATTTCTGAGGTTGTGTGTGTGTGTGTGTGTGTGTGTGTGTGTGTGTGTATGAGTAAAGCAACTCTGGGCTCATGCCCTTTCCTGCTGATGCCCATACCCTGAGGAATGCTGTGGGAACACTTGGGAAGAGGTCAGAGGGAGAAAAGCAGGGCAGCCTGTGTGGGGGTGGGGCCACAGGGCCGCCCAGAGCCTCCCTGTGGAGCGTCCCATAGAAGGAGGCTGTGGAGCCCCTGGCAGAGCTCCTGGAGCCAAGGGCCCTCTCCAGGCCTTACCCTTGCCTGCTTCAGGGCAAAGAGACCTGAGGATCCCAGCTGCACACGCCTGGGGTGCGGGGCACACAGCACCTGCTGTCTGCCTTCACTCCCAGTGACAGCTGAAGGGCTCTCCTCTCCCCGAGGCTCAAGCTTCCCTTGTCCCGAGCTCATTACAAATGGCAACTGTAGAGAAATAGATGGTGAAGCCAAGGTGAGCTGTACAAGGGTGAGGAATGCTGAGAGTCTCTTCCCCCATGGTGGTCTTTTGGGGCCTCGGCAAGGAGTCCAGCATAGTATACACACAAAGGGTGTGCAGCACTTTCTTACCGGTCCGACAGCCACTGCTCTTCCTGGTAGTTTTAACCTTTATAAATAGTGTGGTAGTACAAAATTTAAAATGAAGGAAAACACCCTTTGGACAGCACGCCCTTCCTGCAGAATTGTGCAAAGGGGGTTCAAACACAGCTGCAGTCTGGCAGGTGGTGTGGCGCCTCCCACCTTCATTCTGAGGCGCACTCGCCTAGGCCGCGCTGTCTTTCCATCGGAAGAGCTGACTCTGGACACGACTGGTGGCATGGGCGGGTGTGCGCAGGTGGTGTAAGGGGCGGGGTGCAGACTTTTCTTGACTCTTTTTAAAAACAAACCTCTCAACTGGTTCCAAAAATGTCTCTGTCTGATTCTGGGGATTGAGGCCCCGATATTTCAAATAGCTCCTGAGGAGACTGAGAGGATCTTCTGGCAGTTAATATCCTGAGTATCTCCGCGAGCTGGTTCTCAATGCTGGCCATCTTGGCGTTCAAGGCCTTGATGTCCTCCTTCAGCTCGTGCTTCACCTCCAGGACGGTGGCCTGCAGCGTCTGCTCTGGGATGGGGTAGAAAGAATGCTTCACCTCCGCCAAGATGGGGCTGCGGTCTTGGGGACTCCTGGCCTCACCCACGTTGTCCAGGCGCAGGTCGCTCTTGGTGATGCCGCTGTCACAGGAGTCTGTCTTCTTCAGTGTGGCCTCACCTGCTGCCTTGGTCCTCTCTGGCAGTGTCTCCATGGACTCAGCCTTGGATACCTTGTTCCAGTCCTCGCCCTTTCCGCAAGCGTCCTTGAAGCGGGCCCAGCCTTTGCGCTTGGCACAGTCACCCCCGCCACCCTTTGGGGCCAGGCACTCAGAGCCAGGTGCATGCAGCTTGGCATGGTCTGACACTGTGGAGGCAGAGGCCACCTGTAAGGCCACGGGTGTGGCAGGGCTCTCCCGGACCGTGACCACGCTGGCCTTCATGAGGCTGTGGTTGGTGGCACTGTGCTCGGTGAGGGCACTGCCCTTCTCCACATCCAGGTCATCCAGGTCCCGGCCGCCCCTCTCTGCCGCCAGCCTGGCCTCCTTTTGCTGCCGGAACCTCTGGAAGAGTCGTCTGACTGGGTGGTCAGGGGGTAAGATCAGGGGCGCCTCGTTCTTCCGCTTCATGCGCTCTTCCTCTTCCCGCTTCACGTCGCTGATCTTCCGAAACACAATCTAGAGTGAGACAGAGGGACATGCTGCATTAGCCAAGGGCTGGTGGCTCCTCAGCAAAGCTAAGATGTCTACCTGGCACAACTTCCTGTCCAGCTCCCTGGCCACCAAGAGGCTCACAAACTACCCACAGCCCCACACAGCCATGGGGCTTTCCTCATTTCCTAGCTCTTCAGCAGCAGGAAACTGGCTGTTGCCACCGTGACTGTTAGGGGAACAAACCCCACCCTTGCCATCCCTAAGTGCGAGGAGGCTGCAGACTCCAAATAGCATGCTCCCGGCAGACTGCTGTCACAGGCCAGGGCCTCTTGGCTATTCTGCAGTTCAAAAGCACACAGTAAGCTTTTAAAACATTATCTCTCTGATCCCTCCTCAGACCCACTCCACTTAGAGTTTCCAGAGGAGAAGGCTTTGGATCTGGGAAATAAAAAGCTCCCCAGGGATTCTGAAGCATGGAAGTTTGAGCTTCTCTGCTCTAAACCACACTTCACAGCAAGAAAGTCCAAGTGGGTCCCCAGGTGGGGCTAGCACTTGTCACTCACAGAGCTGGACCCTGAGTCAGATCCAGTCTCACATGGAAGCCCACCTCTTCCCTGTGGAGCCTACAGTATAACAGAGACCCACAAACTCGAACATAAATTTTCCCGAATGATCATATCCACCACTTGGGCATTGTTCTTAGTTCATAAAGCATTTTAATGTTATTCCATGTATTTCTTATTGTAAGGAACACACATCATTACACCCAAAGCTCAGGGTGGATAAACATCACAGAACCAGTAAGTCACCTATAAGGTCCCTTGAGAAGGGACCTTCTCAAGCCACCAAAATGCAGCTTCATTAGACGGCCAACAGGTAGTTACTGACAATGGCAGGTGCATGCAGAGAATGGGTGACAGTCAGCAGAACAGACTCAAGACTCTGGCTCGGAGCATACATAAGCCATAAATTACAGGGCTTCTTCCTGGGCTTGAGGCCTTCCTGGGAAGGCCTATAATCTCTAGATTATAATGCATGTGGCAGTTAGACTCCAGGACATGTTTTGACCCATGCCAAATCCAGCCTTGTGGGAAGCAACCTGGCCAGGCTGCACACTCACAGCTCATGGCTGCATCAGTAGAGCAGCCTAGGCACTCACAGCCTGAGGCCCCCCCGCAGGGGACTCTTCTAAAACCTCTCTCCACAGACTCTTCTAAAGCCTCTGGTCTTCTAAAGTGCCCACACGTCTGTGGCAGAGGCAGCCCACCTGGACATGGCAGGCCCACCCAGCAGGGAGGTGACCCAGAGCTTCTGGCCCTGAAGCAATGCCCACACCCTTCTTTGGGAATCAGAGAGTAAGACCAGCAGCCCCCATGGGGCAGGACAAAAGTGGCTCTGAGGGGTTGGTATGATCTGACTGCCTTGCCAATCTGGGGCTGAGAGCTCTGCTTGCTAATGTGAGCCACATTTTTGCAGAGGCTGGTCAGAGAGTCTCTCAGGAGCAGCCACATCCATGCATTTGGACAAAAATTTTAGGTCTGAGTGAGCAGGGCTGGCTGCATGGCCCCTGACAATAAGGTCTGGGCCAGTGGCCCCAACAGCCCTGTCCAGGGAGGTTCGCACTCCCACCGTAGGTGTGTGCCTTGGGAACGAGGAAGCGAGAGCTGGATCCCATAGTCCAGGGTGCTCTCTGTGCTATCAGGCTTTCTCAGGAGGCCTGGCTGTCCAGCTTTGGCAGTGTTCTGGGGACTGTAATAGGTGCTATGAAGACCATAAACATTTCCAGGCGAAATATGTTTGAGCCACACTGCACCATTAAATCAGGTGCTTCCCTGCAGACTTCCTGAGCCTCAAAACACTGAGGTACCTTATAAATGCCCAAGAGGAAGCTACTGCATGAGGCATTTCCTAGTCCATCTCCCCAGATCATTGTTGAAATAAGCAGTGTTCCCCAGAGCGCCCTCTGCAAGCATCGAAGCTGTGTCAGCGAGTAGTGCACCCTCTGTGTTGGTGCCTGGTTTCCTGTTTCTTCTTCCAGGCTGCACAGTGCCCTGTAACTACTGCCAAGGAGTGAGTTTGGACGTGGGGTCTCCGTTGCAGATGTATCGCCCCCTGGTGGATGGGCCTGCACTAATCCAAACCCTGACACGGTTACAGAGGCCTGAACAATTCTGACTCTCAACCTGTCCTTGACATTCTCTAGACATGCTGAAGAATTTCATGTCCTGGCAAAACCCAGCTCCATGCTTACGGCTCCCTTGACTCTCATCTCTCCAGCCTGACTCCTCTGTGACAGCTGGGACTCAGTTTGGGTGTTATCTCCACACTTCCCTGACTCTCCCCCCCCACTCGTGGGGGTGCCCAGCAGCTGGCAGTCACACACACTTCCACAGGTCTTTGCCAAGGACTGTGAGAAGTTTGCTTGTCATTCCCCTCAGATGGAAGCTTCCTGAAGGCAGGCACAGTAGGTGTTCATCTTTAACATCATGCCTGTCATACAAAGTGCTCAGTAAATGCCAGTCAGTGCATCAGCGCATGGTGTATGGCCTTTCCCCTGCCATGATTGTGAGGTCCATGCTACAGGAAAAGTGATGCTGCCACTCCCAAGTCTGCCTCTGTTGTTTGTGGTCTCAAGGCAAGAGAGAAGCTATAGGTGGATTTGTTCTGTGCAAATCGCATAGACTCTGAAGGGTAGTGCATCAATAAATTCCTAACGGGCTTCCGTGCTAACTCATCTTCATATGACCTCATACTGGCTTCATCATCTCTGTCTGATTGATTTTATTTTTCAAACCCCTGCATAACCTCAGAGAGCTGATATTTAGAAGGAGCCCTGAAATAAACCTTTTTTCAGTAGGGATAACTGCTCTTCTATTTTCCTTTTCCGTAAACTTGGACCCTGCTAGAAAAGGCAGTCTGGTGTGATGGGAAAAGCCTGGATTGGAGGCTTAAAACTGGAATGCCTGCTTCATTCTTACTGTCTCGCCCCTACCTCCCCCAGCTGGACAACCCCACGCCTAAGCCCCCTCAGGGTAGGGCCAGGGGATCACATAACCTCAAAGGACCCTTCCAGAATGAAGTTAGTGATTGTAAACATATTGTTGCTTTTGTGTAATGCCTCATGATTTATTCAACATGGTCAAGTGCATTGTCTCATTGAGCTTATGTTTCCTGGAAGGTGCACAGGGGTCTCTGTCACAATCCAGGAGGCTAAAGCTGAGCAGGTGGCATGACCTGCTTATGGTCATACAGTTGGTTAGAAGCAGGACTTCGGGACATGGGCCAGTGTGCCTTCCTCCCCATCAGGGACTCTTAGACAGGGACCACCAGGAAGGCAACAGACTCTGGAGAGGTTGGGGTAAGACCTTCTAATTACCCACTGGGAGGCCAAGACTTGGAGACAGACCCTCTCTGTTCCCATCCTGATTCCAGGCACCATGATGGAATAAGACCAGATCTTTTCTGGATCTACCAGAGTCCTGCCAGGCTCTCCACAGGGACATACATTCTCTCCTGCCTGAGAAGTTTGGTATGGGAGGCCCATGCAGAATACTGAAGAGGCTTCCAGGGAAAGGATGGCACTGTCCCTGAGGACAACCCTCTGAGGCTGCACCAACCAATAGATCTGAGACTGAGAGTCCTTAAATGGTTGTTGAGCTGAACTGAGTTAATATTCAGATCTGTAAGTTACAGGGCTTTCTACACAACTGTGTTTAACTTGGTTTGAAAAGCCAGGCCCCACAGGGTCTGAGGTGTGGTCAGGATGATCAACCACCTCTGCTGGCTGCATTAAAAGAGAGCCCAGCCTCTCTCAAATTCCAAGTCCTTCTCAAATGCCAGCCAAGACTAAGCCAAGGGGACCAGGACAATGAAGAAGAAAGAACAGGCAAACCTGGGAGGGGAAGGGACTCCCTGGAGTCCTGACAGCATGAGGCTTTTTTTTCTTTTCTTTTTTTTGTTAGTGCATGTTTTCAGTTCAGTTTGCGTGAAGGGCACTGAGCAGGGGGCACCACTACTTAAGAGAGCTCAGAGTGCAGAACAAAAATGTAAGCATGATGTCAATCGTAATGGCTTTCATAAGTGAGCAGGAGCTGAGGGACAAGTTCTAGAAAGCCATGGCAAACCTAAAGGAAATTGTTTTGTTCTCTGTTGAATTCAGACACTGTCCTCAATATGAAACACTGAGAGCAACAAAGTACAGGCCTGGAGTGGGACCAGCTCTGCCCCTGGGCAGCCACTGTGTGAGCTTGGGCAAGCTGTGCTCATCTGTGGTTGGATCAGAGCGCTGGTTCTTAGATCTGGCTGCACTTCAGAACCACCTGGAGAGGGCACTGTCTACGTGTGAGAATCTCCTGGGGCAGGTCAGAAACTGCAGCAAGCTCTCGCGGATTCCGAAGTGCAGCCCAACCAGTGTCTTCAGGCTTCAGGACGAATCGCTGCACTCCACGTTCCTCTGTGCATGGGTCTGAGTGTAGGCACAGACCTCACCAAGCCCCAGGCACCTGTCTGTCTACACTTACCCTTCCAGCCACTCTTGTCCCTAAAGGATGGCTGAGGGGCTGGCAGGCCCCGAAATCTGGTTTTTTTGTTTTTGTTTCTTTGCTGTTTTTATTTATTTTTTGTTAGTGTGTGTTTGCAGTTCATGCTAACATTCCTCTCGGGGCGTCTGAGAGGAATGCACGCAGCGCATCTCAATTGTTCTCATCTCCCCGCTTCCTGTCCTTCCCTACTCCCTCCAACTCCGGTTCCCCTTTCCATTTGCAAAATCTATTTCCACTTGTTTTCAATTCTCTTTTTTTTCACCCCTTTTTCCTTTCCTCCTTCTCCCACCTCCATTTCTTGGTCCCCTTCCCGTTTGAAAAAAAATCTGCCTACTTCCTATTATTATTTCTTCTATTCTGCTCTTTATATTTTGGGTTTCTCATATAAGAAAAACTGTGTGCCTTTCTGACTTGACATTATGGCCTCAAGGTGCATCACACCTACAAAGGCCTCGGGTATACCCTTCTCTGTGCCTGCGGTCA